AAAAAAAAAAAAAAAAAAATTGCTGACTTTTACTGATCATCATAACTAAATGTCTTCATCGCCTAAACTTTTGGGATGGTATAATAAAATAAGCACCAAACTAATTCTGTATTATGAATTTCATATGTCATTTATTTATACAAACTAATCATTGGATACTAAGTATATCTCAGAAATCCGAATCTATTAATAGACAATATTATATTCTATGACTGAAATAGATTCTTTAAAAGCTACAAGCAAACGTGCTTCTTCATGTTTTAAAATAAGAATTTTTTACAGCCGCCTTCCGGTAATTTTAGACATGGCTGACTCACGACTTTCGGTTTATTTCGATTTCTTTTATTTTTCCTCGTTTACTTTGTCCAAAAAAACAAAAAACAAAAACAAAAATAGTTGTCCTTATCATTGTGAAAACGTTTAGTCTCATTCAAACAACTTAACCTTGAAGCAACATTGGTCCAATAGGTACGAGAGGACGATAACAAGAGTGCTAAAATATTATGATCGGGAAGGGGGGGGGTGCGTAACTAGAACAAATTTTAACCCGAGACTACATATTACTGTAGCAATTATTAGAACCGAGTAGATATGGTCATGGATCGGATCGGGCCGGCACAAATCTCCTCGTTGACCATGTGTCTTGAATCGGCCCGTGATTTTGACAAGTCCGGTTCATGTTCAATACTTTATAGTTTATACATTTCGAATCGGCGATTTCGGTTTCGAATTAGAATCGGAATCATGGGTTCGACCTTTTAAAAAATATATTAATTTTTAATTATTTTTATATTTTTTAGTGATTCGGGCTGTCAAGAACCGACAGTGCAATCAACCGACCCATGGATATGTTCGGGCCGGTTCAGGACCTTCCAACTCACGGCCCAGTACCGACGATTTCAACCTGGAATCGATTTTGGCTATGACCAGAACCGAAATTATCTGGTAACGTATTTCGGTTAGAATTGTGAAAACCCAATATCAACTCGTTTATATACTTAAACAAGATAAACTCAAATAGCTAACCGGACTTGTCGATCAAACAAATAGAGTCGAATATGTTTGCAGTCAACAATGTAAGAGTTTTCCTTTGTACATGAAATGAAGCCAAATTAATTATTGGAGGCCAAATATGACTCGTAGAGTATTTTTGTTACAATGATGGCTCTAGCTTTGAGCTTTTTGAAGTATTGATGTATTGTTGTATTGTTTTATCTTGTTCTTGTTTTTGTGAGGATGTCTCATTTATACGCGAAAAAAGGCAAAATACAATTATGGTCGATTGCCACCTGGGTGGCTAAGTGATTAACGCGTTCTATGCAGAAATCTATCTTTTGTGGGTGGGACGTATATTCTCATGTCCTGCAGGACAACATCGATTAGGCGGTGGGATAAGACCTCTTGTGTGGTGGTTTCACCGACTTCAGTGGCTTTACTGGTTTGATTTGTGAGAGGTGGGCCTTACTTGAGCATTTGATGCTTCATTCTTAGTTGGATGCATTTTTCCTCTATTTTTGTGGGTTTTTCGGAGTGCTCATACAACATTATGTATATAGTATTTTTACCATATAAATATATTTAGAAGTATCAAAAAATATTTTGTATATAAATTTTGCACATCAAAGTGTTAATAAAATTGTATATTATAATATATATTTATCATATAAATAAATATATACACACACACACACACATATTTATTCACAGTGGCCGGGTCAAATCTGGTCAACTCGACCAATGCCTGGTTGGCCAAATTTTGACCGGGCCGAAGCACCCACCAAGACCAGTCTCGTGTCTTGAATCAACTCATCAGGCCGGTCCGAGTTGAAGAACTATGAACTTAATTCTCTTATTTTTTTAACTTTTATCAATATAGTTATATAATAGCAACTTAGCAATCAATCTCTCATGCATTACATTACATATTTTTAACTACTCAATTTTGTTCAATCACATCTCGCTGACTTTTTCATCACAACATTTTTAATTATTACGTTTTAAATATCATTTAAATACAACTCAAATCCAAACTCAATCAAAATATTAATCCCCTAAAAATAAAAACTAATTTTTTTTTAAGTAAAACTAAAAAGTTTTATTTCCCGTCACACCCTACCTACATAGTTCAAGATACTTTTCGCAGAAACTTCCAAGTCACAAAACTCCAAATGGCTTATGACATAATTCTTCGTCATTCAAACGTAAATTTGTCATGTTATAATTAAATCTTGGTTTTAAACCATAAACTTTTCACGTTAAATACAGAAGTTCATTGGCCCCACAGATTCTGTACAAGTATCACTAAGTTTCATTATTCAGAAGGTAAAAGTCTGCAAAAACACAATGCATTTGCTGACTGTTAATCAATAATTGTGAAACATCGTATGTTCCAACGTTGGCACACTAGTAGGAGGTATCCACTATAGGGATCAATTGTTAACGGGCATCTACTTTCGTCTGAAATCATTAATCAGATCTTCCCCCTAAACAAAACTACGACATTTATCGGTAGGATTAGGACTGTAGTACACAACCTTTGTTACCCAGCCTTCACATCAAAGTATAAGTTTCAATTTTTTGCACCTGTAAAAGTAAAACAAAATTAAGAGCCAAGATCAATAATACAAATAAAAAGCCAAGAAAAAAATGGGGGAGAGAGATAAAGGGGAAAATCTCCAATGAATGTTTAAACTTTAAAAGACGTTTCTCACTATGTATGTACGATTTTGCTATGAAGCCAACAGTCCACTCTATAGTGGAGCCAACCTTCTATATACAACAAGTAAACCTACCATATTATCAGATTCTTTAAATAACACTAATAGAATATGGTATGTTTACTTGTAGAAATAGAAGGTTGGCTCCACTATGGAGCCAACTGTTGGCTTCATAGCAAAACTGTCGTCCAACTGTAATCTATACAGAGAATTAAATAAGATCAGATCATATAAATTTTTTCCACCGTATTTTCTTAACAAGAAAGAATAGCTACTTAAACACGAACAAAATGCAGTTTGCCTCTAGTCACCACACTCGGTTCGCTCCACTAAATTCTTTTAACAATGCATCGAAGAAATAGAAAAGTCTATTCAATAACATCACTCAAGTATAACTAAAATAAACCAATACTTCCTTTTTTACCTGTTGGTTTCCGACTACCCGTCTTGAGAAAGGTTTGATCCTCCACCAACCAGAAAGTATCCCAGTCAGACAAATAATAACTCCATCACCATGTAGGAAAAACTTCTCGATAGCTTCTTCACAACCATAACATCTGCAATTGAATATATTGAGGTCCTTCCGTTTTAAATCCATGATTCTGGTTTGTCAAAGGCATATGGAATCAACCACATGAACCAAGCATAATCTTCAAATTAAATCCCATATGTCCTGTTGTACAGATTGCCTGAACTGGGGTTGTGGAGCTTGGCATCTTCAAAACCACCATAGAACTTATTCAAACCGACCTGCTCGGTTCTGAGCAGTTCGGCCATACCGGAATTATTCACACTGTTGACCTCACTCCACCCATGCCATTGTCCATTATGACTTGTCCCATTCCTTGAATGAGACAGGTTAAACTGAGAAAATGGGGGAAGATTATTTGATAGAGTTTGATCCGTTAACCTAGAGTGAAGTCCATAAGCATCCCCAAGGGTAGAAAACTTGTCCCCCAAATCATTATTAAATCTTTGGTTCTGATGTGAGAGGAGAGATCTTTGTAAAACAGACTGGAATCTTGACTCTTCATACATATTCAGTTGTGGAGGAAAATTAGACCTCACGTCCACGCCAAGGTTGTTGATGCCACCTGGAAGTGTACCTTTGCCAACAGCCAAAATTGCAGGATCCATGAACTCTATATCACCATTGCTAAAAGCATTACTATCTCGGGGTGCCTGATACTGGTTTCTTAGTAAAGCTGAAGAAGCGTTATGCATATGACTTCCTGCAAGTACAGATAAAACAAATTATATTTTGAAAGAGGGGAGAACACATACTGAATGTAAAATAATGCTTAAATTCGCTGCATCAAAAAATTCTAACCAGAAAGTGGTTCAAAAATTGGTTCTGTCCTTCCATGAGATGCAAAGCCTGGAGGTGGTGCCGCTCGACTAGGAACTGAAAATCTTGGAGGGGCAGATACATGAGATCTTGAATCTGTCCAAGAAAACATCACAAAAGATAGTGCAGGGAAGATGACGAAACTATGAAACGAGTAATTACCATTCAGAAGAGATATAAGCAGAAGTATTCCATGTGATACATTCAGCACAACAAAACAAATTTACAATAAAAGTGCTGATTGCAGTCCCAATTACAGGCCAATCCAGTCCATACAGAACAAATGTTATTCCATAACATGTGAAATCAGTATAAATTTGACACTTGAAAGCACAAGATGACAACCAGTAACCTTCATTGAGGTTCATTGCTTGCAGTTTATACAGTAAATTTCTAGATTTCCAAGTATGCTAAAAATCATGCAACACTGAGAGCTCCAAACAAAAATATTCTGTTAGCCAATTCGCTCATAAGATCAAACCCATCCCTGTTCACCTCCAATAATAAACATGAGGTAAACAGGTATGCTTAATAATCAAATTCTTTGGTTGCCAAAGGAAAACAAAGACAAAGTAACTGTGATAGCAACTCAAACATAGTCAACAACCGAAGGACCACTACAGTGATAACCAAGCCCACTATGTTACTTCCCAGGATTTTCAACAGGAATACATGACTGATTTCCAATAATAAACTTTTACGGCAAGGATAAATTATAAGAAAAATATAGCACTATTAAATCCTATTACGTTAATTTGAACAAAAATTTTCAAGATAAGGTCACATAATTTCCATAACTCCAATAAGACAACATTTTGTTACTAAAAATGAGTAAATGAAAAAAATAAAAGAAAAAGGTTAACTAACCGGCGAGCTTGTTAGAAGAAATATGAGAATTACTGCTAGCAATATTATCTAGTCCTTCACCACCAAAAACAGGTAAACCATTGCGAGTTACGGACCTCTCCAGGTTCGGGCTGTTGCCACTGCATATATCATGGCCAAACGGGCGCTGCTTAAATGATTGTTCAAAGTAATCAACAGATTGTCCAGAACCTGAGACATGGTTCGTGGTTTCCCCTTCTCTAGCAAATGAAAACCTTGATTGATTGCTATTATGAATTTTCCAAGGACCAGATACTCCAAATGACCCTTCTTGCTTATGAGTTTCACCCAACAACTTGACAAGGTTTTGAGGTGAATTTAAGGACTCACTCCACGGGTCAAAATCCATTGATAAAATATTTGATATTATGCTGCTTTCTGCCATATCAACACCAGAACTAGATGCTTCACCTTCATATCTCCCAAGCAGAGGCCTCTCCGTACGTGGAAACAAATTGAAATTCCCAGCATCATTACCCTCAGATCTGTTCAGTAAATTTTTAGAGTGCGCAATAGGGAAATTAAGAGTCGGAACCACTGAATTCCCATCTACAACCTGCCTGTCTAAACCAATAGGAACTGTCCAGCCATCATTATTAAATCCATGAGAATGAGTATTAGAATGCTTTGATAAATTTAATACATCAGGAAACTCTTGCACTCCAACAGTAGAAACCTCAGGATCATTAATCCTTTGGTTATCAAAACATAACACATCATCCTCCCTTTCATGCCAGTCTACTTGTGCTACTTTACTCTGCATTCCAAGTCCAGAACCAGACTGAATGTTTGAACCGCATCTATCATTGATGGTATTTGCAGCTTTTGCAGATGTTTGACGAATCAGTGGTTCACTATTGTGCTCAACAAAGCCATTCTGGACCTGTTGATTTTCATGAATGCTCATTGATAAAATACTACAGCATACACTTTCAGAGTTTCTATCTGTGTTATCAATGGACTTATCATCTGGCATAGGCCCAGTTGACGATACAGAAGAGTCAACTATACGAGAAGAATCTGGTGTCGGGTTGGCTTTTGGTGGGCTGCTTGGCAGTCTACTTGAGGACAAATTTACAAGATTTACAGATGCCACCAGACCATCGAAAATAGGTATTCGGCAATCCTCATTCGATTCTTTTTCTTTCAAAATAGAAGTTTCCTTCGTTTTATTTAGAGATATGATGTTCCCTTGATTTTGGATCTTCTTCTTTCCAGTATCAGTCTGCAATGAAGAAACTTGATTCGTGCTTGAAGTTTTCTTAGAAATTGTCACTGGACCATTAGAAATATCAGGTTTCTGATTAGGTGGCACATTGGAGTATGGACGAGTGCCCCTGTCCAGAAAATATGTAACTCAGGAGAAGTAGAAAACAAAATTAGGAAGTAACTATGATTAGAGGAGGATGGTGTACCATGATGCCCCAGCTGGAAGAGCAGCAGATCTTCCTGAGCTACTCTTCGGCGGAGAAACACTAGGACTGCTTGCTTCATTCTGCCGAAGATAGAAAAAATGGTATGAGCAGGGACAGAAGGATTAAAGTGCTTCCTAGCATTTACCACTATTAAAATTTTGACGGTAACAATTAACATGCAGAAGTTTTAGTCATTGCAGTGACATAAATTATTCACCACATCAGCTGAGATAACAAAGTCCTGGCTGGAAAGGCAAAAGAATATTCATAGAACTATCAGATGTCTTAACGAAATAGAATGCAGCGTAAGCACTATATATGGCTAGAAAGTCAAAAATTCAAAATAAAACTGACATGTAGAAACGTTAGTTAGAAAAATGAAGGTGGTACTGATGCAATAAGAGCAAAACTTTACATTTGTATTTGTAGCAGCTTTAGTTATAGGCTTCCCAGAAGTAGAGCTATTATAACAGTATTCATCTCCTGGCGGAGGTAACACACTCCCTGCAAACTGTTGAGTACTATTTGACGACCCATTTATTTGCTGAACTCTATTCCTTCAAAATAGTATAAAAGTCAATCAGATACTTGAAGAATAACTACATCAGATCGCCAAAAAATATATATGCTAAGCAGAAATAAAGTGCTGCCACTTTACATCCACAGGAAATTTCCTTGCCTAGAGTGATCTGGAAGCATCGTTCTACAAATACACACATGATCCCGCCGCCTTATGAGTTAAAAGACAACAGATAATCAAAGCTATACCATGTCCAGATTTCATCAAAATTACTCACTAATTAGTAGATGGCATTAGTTTTAGAAAAAGGACTTAATTAGATTCTGGAGGATTATCACAAGTAATTAACTCACCCCCAATGTTATTAAATCAGTCCCAGTTTCCATCAACATAAATAAGCCTCAACAAAGACATCAAAGAAACTCCATCTTAGCATGCAACAGAAATAGTGTTTATGTAACATCACCATCAGCAGTAAAAATAAGCATCACTCAAAACTCAAGTCTTCTGCATGAATGCTGCCCATTCTCACACCCTTGTTTTGACCACCAACATACACCAAACCTTAAGTTGGTCAAATATTTCAGTGCCTCTTAGATCATGTCCAATAATTTTACCAAAATTATTTTGCAAAAAACTCAAAACACTTCCCAAAGAAAAGATCCAAAGAACTGAAAATCCACCACAAGAAAAAGAAAAAAGAAAAAAAAAATATTATGTAGTATCAGAGAATTACAGTCGTGTTTAATCTTAGCGTATATTTTTATATACCAAAAAAATGAAACAAATATCATGCATGTAAAACTTCGCATTAAAATACATTACTGGAATTCAATCTTCCAGCTATGTCCAACAAAAAGAAGAGACAAACAAATATTCCGACAATTTAACAATATAAAATGCTTATTTACACATTATTCAATCCTTAGACTATCAACATGCGGGGCTGACCCAGGCCATAATGGTAGCCTCTGTTAGAGAGAGAATGAAAGAATAATCAAACTATTCATGGAGAAAGCACCAGTAGTTCTAAAGATAATGGTTCCAATTAGTGCCAAAACCAGTGCCTACACAACTTTATGTAAAGATGGACTGCGCAGAAATAAGAATATATAGTTAAATTACAATAACCTACATGCTTTTTTTATTAAGGAAACACCCCAGAACGGGAGGGGGGTTAAGACAGGACCCCCAACTTATATATAATCAAACCCAGAATGGGCTGCGAAAACACAGGTCTACAAGTTCATACAGCAGTAACCTACATGCTTAAGATTGAATATCTAGTACAATATCACTCTCAGAAGAGTAACATTAGAATGTGATAGATAGAACATATGTCTGATGACATGGACTAGAGCTCTCTTATAACGAAGAACTGATCCTCACATTTTAACCAAACTAGAAGCAGCAGATCTAACATGAACATAAATTTGCAAGAAATGGAATTTAAATAACTGGCCAGAATCAATTGCCATAATGCATCCACACAATACCTTGTGTAAGCTGAAATTATTTCATCCTTCGTAAAACTATCCTCTTGTGAGCCAATCTCGTGCAAGTATAAACAGTCTTTATTGTTGCAAAGCTGAACCAGAATAAAAGAATTTACATTAGGAATGCTGCACTAACAACTAAGTTGTAAGTGTAAAACCCTGGAATGAATAATACTGTTAACAAAAGAATGACTAGTAAAAAACTCTGTCACAAGTTCATATGGAAAATGCATTAGTCATACCACGTTTCTCAGCCATGCATGACAGTATTTTGTCGTCCCAAAGCATGCCCTACAGCAGGAGTTTTCAGAAACATTCTGATATGGCATAAAAAGTTCAAAATCATGAGACTCACCTCAAAGATTTCCCGTCCAAAACAAATCCATGTACTGACTGAATACACCGAACTGCCTCCTCCTCCTTTGAATATGTTATATATCTAGGACCAGAAAGAAAGAAAGAGAGTACAAACAGAAAAAAGTAAATACTTGAAGCTATTAACAAGATGTGTAAATGACTAAAAATAATGCCATTATAGTTATGAACTACGACAAAGAGATGTAATGTACATCATAAATGATATGACCCCATGATTTGACACTTAAGTATCCCACTGAAGAATGATAAAGCTAATAGATGCACTTCTTACCATCACAGTGTAACATGCTATGGACTATCAGATATTTTTATTGGTAGCTAGTGAATGAAGACTCCCCACATGAGGAAAATTGGAATAAAATATAGGCAGTAGCCATCATCATAAACATTAATGTAAATATGCATCGAATTCTTCAAACTGATAACTTAATGATCTAATATCAGTATATAACATCAGACAAAAGAAAGAAGAACCTACACACTGCATGTATTATTTGCAAACTGTTGTATAGCACCAGTTGCTGTTCTAGATATTGACACCTTCAGCACCTTTCCATACTGACTGAAGTAATCTTTGCGCAGTAGAATCTACTCGATCAAAACCCAGGGTTACAGGACATCAAAAGAAGAACAAAAAAGATGAGAGAAAACTGAAAAAGAAAGCCGGGCAAATTACATCCTCGTCTGCATAATTCAAAGGCAAGCCTACAATATAGACGAGATTCCGCTGGATGACTCGCACACTTTCAAGTTGCTTCCTTCCTTCCAAAGTTTTTCCCTTTCCCCTCTGTGACTTAAGCTTTTTTTCCACATTCAACTCTGTAACCAGCCTGTTACAGATAGCACATATCACAATCAGAATACAAAACAAATGACCTGTTCAAGGTCAAACATTTCCTTTTGGAGCAATGTAATGCACATGGTAATTACTTTTCACATTTTGCAGCTGTCCCAACAATCTTTTCCTTGTTATAAGGAGTGCGACATGCGGGACAAAGCCCTTGAGTCTCATCCTTCTCAGCCATATCCATTATGTGATGCCAACACCACACACAAATCTGCAAAAGTGGAAAGTGCACATCTCCGGATAAGCTGAAAACTCAGAACATAGAGAACACAAAATTGCTGAGCTGTGCAACCACATGGATGGAACAAGACAACTGCTTGCAATGCCGACTAGCACCTAACGTATTCTACAGCCTTGATTTAATAGAAAACTGCGGTATACTCCTTATAAGTGATCTACAACAGCACTCATAACCAGTGATTAAAAAGGCGTCACCATGGCATAAGGCAAGGCGTGGTGCCCCTTGGGCGCCTCCGAGCACATGTGGCGAGGTGTCCTTGCAAAAGGCACCGCCAAGGCAAGTGCCTTATGTGTGGCGACCTGAGGCAAGGGGTGCACCATGGCAAGCAGCATCAATTTGAACAACTAGGGTTTACGATCTTAAGCTACCATTTCTTAATTCTTACTTACACATGTTATGTCCAACAAAACCCTAAATTAACTTGTGCCTTTTCCTTCCCCAGCTGAGTCGATCGGATTCCAGCGACAGGTCAGATACGTGTCTCTCTTTCCTCTTAGTTTTATTTTCGACTACAATGTCCGAATGTCGAGAGATTCAACAGAATGAAGATGAAGATGATACATAACAGAGAAGCTAACACTACAAAATGGCAGTTAAAAACTAGTAGGTGGTGTTCCCTATCTGATAAAAACAATGATGTTTAAATTAGTTCTTCGTGTAAAGAGTTAAACTTCGTCAATAGATATTTATTCTAATTGCTATTGGTTCAAAGATATTAATGACATTTGGGATTCTATGCAGCTTCATTATGTAGGACATGGGTGCATTTCAAACCTTGATTGTGTGAGAACAGTACACAGACAAAAAAAAAAGGATGATAATACCAAATTTCTGTCACATGGAGTTGAATTAATCAACCGGAAATTAAGAATGAATTGCCACGTCATTGAAAAGATTTCAGCTTTATATTTTGCATATCTTAGTTTTTAATATAGTCCAACCAAAATATGGTTTTGTATAGCATTACACATTGAAGTTCATTTCACCACACATTCTCACGCCAGCGTACAAAAATTCTTGACGGCATGTAGTAGCATACCTCATAGCCGCACTTGCAAGGCTTCAACTGCTGATCAGTCAAATCCATCTCCTCAGCACAGAGAGGACAAGTCTTGTCTCCTCCATCACTCATGGTTGCCTTAGGTGCAATACATATCAATTTCACACAAAAAAA